GTGTTCTGGAAGTGACTGTCCGCTCAGAAATCCTTTAAACCTGACATCCCACATGGTGATGCTAAGTCCCTTTCTTTCTCTTCCAGGCATGCAGAAAATGTGTCAACAACTGTAGTGCCCGTACAACCCCTTCATCCTTGTACTTACTGCAAGCAATACAGCTGGAGAGGTAAGTGGGAGCCAGACCTTGAAGGGCCTCATGGGTCATCTTAGGGAGCTTGGATTTTATCCGGAAGGCAGTGGAGGGTCAAGGAAGGGTTTTTGACAAGGAGTGGCCTGGTTTGATTGACATTGCTGTGAATGTACAATCTACATATGCCAGAGGGAGATATTCAGTATGTATTAGTAAGCCATCACACATGCCTTATGTAAGGACGCCCTGTGAGAAACGTTCACTATAATGGCACTGTGACCATGAGCAAGGGCTCAGGAGTCAGGCTGGTGTGACTCCCAGTTTTGCTGCTTCCCAGCTGGGAGGCCTTAGCAAATGACCTCTCCTCTCAGTTTCTTCCCCCATCTTAAAAATGGGGATGATAGTAATTTCTAAGTCACAGCATTACGGTGAGAATGAAACAAGGTTATGCACATAAAGCCCAGCACAGTGCCTGGCATGTTAAAGTGCTCAACAAATGCTGGTTTATCCAGCACAGCAGACATATGTTGTACTCCACTTCCAAGCCTCTCAGTCTTCTTCCAGCCACTGTTGAAGTTGACCGGGTCCATGCAGGCTTTGATCTGACGGCATCTCACTTCTCTTGCTTCCTGCCCTGGGGTTTCTGTGATGCCAGGGTGTGTAGGGGAGCCTGTCGGGCACTCACGCACATTCAGTCCAGAAGTGCAGGGGAGGTAGCCGTGGATGGGAGCCCAGGGATAACTGTTTTCCTCTCCTTCCCCCGAGTGAACAGTTCTGAGACATATTTTATAAGGCTTCTCAGGAGGTCCTGTGGGATAGAGCAACCAGTTACCCATAGGGTGGTCGACTCAGTATGCATCCTTACGCTAGCTTTCTCTCCATCCCTGTCGCATCCCTCCTGTCCTTCGCTCCTGCTCCCTGGGATCACGTCCCCTAACAAACTACCTACACTTAAGCTTTTTTTCCTCAGACTCTGTTTTCAGGGGAGCCCCAGCTAATAGAATCTACTATAAGATGATTCTACTTCCTTGGAAAAGCTGCATTAGAAAAAAAAAATGGGAACAGAAACAAAAGGAGCTATTAATACGAACGTCTGTAACAGAGATGCAAGAAGGGGATCACTCCCTCAAGTAGGGTAGACTGTGGGCTACACAGCCCAAGTGTCAGGGGTACTTGTCCACTTGTGTGGGGTCATGCTGTAATGGGGAGACGAAGTGCCATGCCAGAGGGACCCGGGAGAGCTTCGTAGTCTAGGATGTGCCGTGTTTTAGTCTTGAGGCTGCCACTTGCTGACTGTGTGATCCTGGGTTCATGTCTTACTTTGAGCCTCAGTTTCCTTACTTGTAAAATGGGGATAATAAATGCCTGCTTCAAAGCGTTACTCATACTGTGAGTTATACACACTGTCAGTTGAATGGTTAGTCCAGTGTCCACATGAATGCTTAGTCACGTGGTATGTGTTCAATAAATGGGGAGTCTGGTATAACAGCCCTCTGTAATTAGCTTTGGATTGTCTGGAATCAGATTTCTCTTACTGCTTCATATGTGCATATTTAGCTTCCACAATAAATTGATAAGCCTTTCAAAGGCAGTGATAGGAGAAATTGGTCATCAATATTCCTTTCCTAGAAATGACTCCAGCTTTCCTGCCCGTACTAGCTGAGACCTCAGCCCCTAGGACCTGCTGCCTTCCATTGTAGGTCAATTCACAGGAAGCCGACTCCGAGCCAGGTATGCGCGCAGGGATTTACTGGGGAGTACTCTCAAGTCCAGAGGGGTGCAGGTTGAGGTAAAAGAGGGCTGTGATGCAGTCACAAGGCCTCAGCTGACCCCAGGAAGCTCTGAAGCTGGGATGGCCCTTCAGGGTTGTCCCCAGACCTTCAAATCCCTGTTCTGACCAGTCATTAGCTGTGGCTGCCCTGGGAAAGAGGCCTGTCCCTCAGCAGATGGCTTGTCTTCACCAGAGCAGTTCCCCGAAAGGGCCAACGCTGAGCACGGCCAGCGACTGGGATGAGAAGTCCTGAAGCGAGGGACCTTGAGCTTAATGGTGGCTTTCGAATGTGGTAGTCATTCCTAGCTCTCTACCCCATATCCACTTCCCCTTTCTTCCTTAGTAAAAGAAGCCTGATTTTGTTTGGGACAGCAATGTGCCTAATAAAAGTATTCACTTTCTTAGGTTCCTTTGCAATGGAGGTGGGCCAAGGGACCCCATTCTCGTCAGTGAAATACAAATACGAGTCTGGGTTCCTGGTGACATTGTGGAGTCACTGGAAAAAATGAAAGGCTTTATTTGCTTAAGCCACTGTAATGAGGTTTCCACAGCATGTAACCAAAGGCAGTCCTAAGTGGTTCAGAGAGGCATTATCCTATACTGTGTTTAAGAACATGGTCCTTCAAGTGAAAAGGACACAGTGTGAGTCCCAACCATGCTAGAAACCTCCCTCCACCACAGTTCCCTTTTCTGTAAAGTGGGAATGACAGTAGTACCTAGTGCTTGTCTCAACATATAATGCTAGGGTAACCAACTTGTACCGGTTTGCTTGGTACTTTCCTGGTTTTTAGCACTGAAAGTCCCATATCCTGGGAAACCACTTGGTGCTGGGCAAACCAGGACAGCTGTTCAACCTATTAAAACACACCCCCAAACTACCCTACTTCCTTTACAGATGGAAGACTGGGCCCCGAAGACTAAAACTTGTATTTGATGCTGCCCCCTAGTTGTTGAGCATAATATAACATCACTGCCAAGATAAGTTTTACATTACATAAGTAGTTTTCTTAACAAAAATAGCAAGCCAGCCACGGATGGTTAGAGGCAGAGTTGGAATATTCCCCTAAACATTTAGATTTAAATGTAGAACTGCTGTAACCCTGCTATGTTTTACTATTCATTGATACTTGCCAGCAAATATGGTATGTGGTAGGACTATTGTGAACGTTACTGAAAGAATATAGGTAAAGCCTTCTCCCAGAGTATCTTATACAGTAAATGCTCTTTAAAGTTCACTGGTATCAGGTAAACTTGGGTTAACTCTGGGCTCTGACTCTTCCTTTGGAAAAGCGATTTCACTCCCCTGAGCCTGTTTCCTTATTCACATTAGGGGAACAGGACTTTCCTCAGAACGTTGTCAAGATTGATAAAGAAACACTTGTAGAACTCATGTAGTTGGCAGTACATGGCAACTTTACTGCTGACAGTTATCCAGAAGCCAGGACTCGGGCCACCCCTCTACCTGAGGGGCTCTGCAGCTCCGAGGGATCCGCTGGCCCCTCAGGGAAATCTTCTCGTCATCAAGGCCAGTCTCAGCCGGCAGTCGCGCTGGGAGGTCAGGAAGGCCTGAGCAGTCACTCAGGAATTCAGCTGGTCCCTCCTAAGCAGAAGCAATTATCACTCATCTGAGGTGGCTCCTGGGCTGGCACTAAGCAGGGCTACGATCCGAACATTCAGCTCAGTGGCCTTGGGCAATGGGAGTTCACTGGTGTCCAGGCCAGAGCTCCGTGCTGGCCACTATTAAAGCCGGAACTGCAATGTAAACCTCAGCTATTTTCTGCTTTCTATTTGTGGTTGTGTTTACACACGCCAGAGTACACCCACCCTCGTCAGGGCTGCTAAATCTGTTCAGAAGGCTTCCTGAAGATTCAGTGAAACAGAAGCATGCATCCCTGCCTCTTCTGCATCAGTCTTTAAGAGTTCTAGAAAAAGGAATCACTTAAATCTTCCAGAAAGTCTAATTCTGCTATAGTTACGAAGACCCTCAAATAGGCTTAACAGCAATATTAGATTCAGTTCTTTAATTCTGTTCAAAGTGAATTGGAAAAAGAATACTCATATCAATAAATACCTGTGGCTACACTGAAAAAGGGTTAACTGCTCAGTTGGGCTAGAAAATCACCACAAGTGATCGCTGGCTTCTGTTTTATTCTATGTAAAGTCTTGTCGTCCTGTTCTAGTACTTGGCTTTAAGTTTCCATTTCATGCATTTTTGATGAGATTTTAAAAATATGTCTAATCTATACCATGAAATATTATTCTGTGGCTATAAAGAGCCATCTATAACTATATATGTCTATCATCTTATTAATAATATGGAAATATCTTTAAGACATACTGTTAACGGAAGTAGGTCAATAAGAAGTATTTTTCAGGGAAGCAAGTCACAGAACAATATATATAAAACGATCTTGTTCCTATTAAAAACTACATGTATTTCTGCATCTGCAAGGAAAATTTTCCAGAAGAGTATCTGTTAAACAGCTCACAGTGTTACCTAACCTCTGGCAGTGGGATTAGAGGAGAACTTCACTTTTGAAGTTGCTTTTCAGTATTGTTTGATTATTTTCCAGTGTGCATGTATTAATAAAAACAAGAAAGCCAAATAAATACACGTAAACAGCCAGACCTGTCATGACTTAAGCCATCAGACTACTGCCCAGAAACCAAGGACTATGTCCATTAATCTCAGCTCAGTGCTCAGTGCTCAGTGTTTATTATGGGATAAAGTATCTCAGAAGTTGATATTGAAGATGATATTTTAATGCTGTGCACACCCAGTGTCTTAGGAGGCAAAACCTGTATTTACACTTTTGGTGGTGGCTCTTAGCCAAAATATTTACTTTTACCAAAAGATGTTATGAATTGATTTTAAAAAAATCTTCTGAGTCACTTTTATTTTTAAATCTTCAAGCTGTGTTTAGCAGTTCTAGTTCGGATATATTCAGAGTGGGAGGAAAAAAACTGATTAGGCTTTAAATACTTGAGAGATAACACAAACTTCAGCAATAAATGAAGCAGTTAAAATAAATCTTTAAAATACTGGTTCTCATTTGAAAAGAACTAGAGTGACTTATAGATACAAACCATTAGTTGTATAGTATATGTATTCTTCAAAAATTTATTATAGAAACAGACATATTCAAACGTAACACTGGACAAAAACAAAAAGTTGGAATTCCAATGACACCAGGGAATCTCATTTGTACTTTACATTTCTTTGAATAGAATTAGCACCATTAATTCAGAAATCACAGATTTAATTATAATTGCTTCTAATATATAAAACACCCTATAAAGATTTTTAAACTATCTAGTAACAAAGTTCTTCCAAAAACGTATTTAAAAATCAATTAGAATTTACCATTTGAAACTGATGAAAATGGTTTAAAAATTGATCCAATTTTACGGCTTGTCAAAGGGAGTGAGCCATAATTAGTTTTATTGGAAGAAAGTGCCTAAATTCATCTTCTGGCCTCCTTCTAACTACCAAGCACGTACAGTAAATTGAATATTACTATAGGAATAAGAGCACATCTAAAACTGGTCTTAGAAAATATTTTCCTAGACTATAAAAATACTAAATGGAATACAAAAATTTCAGCATATACAGCAAATAGACTACAGCAGACAAATTTTAAAACATACTTAAAACTATCTTTTACCACAATCATCATGAACATCAAGTATTCTTCTAATAATTTTTCTATGACTCATTGTGATTCAATGTTTATTTCCCCTCAAGTTTTATAATAGTGTCAGATACAGACCAAATTCTGTGTTTCTAGCAGAAGTTACTAGAGAAACCATTAAATAATTCTTGGTATTCAACTGGTTCTCAAAGTGCTGGAAGTGCAATTGTAGTGGAGCCTATTTTTTAGATCAGGGGACAGCAAGCTACAGCCCGGGGCCAAACCTGGCCACCACTTGCTGTGTTTGGCCTGTGAACATAGCCACACTTGTTCATTTATGCACTGTCTGTGATTGCTTTCACGTTGTAAGAGCAGAGTTGAGTAGTTGTGACAGAATAAATGTGGCCTTTTGGTCCACGCAGTTCAGATAATTACTATCCCGCCTTTTACAGAAAAAGTTTGCTAATCCCTGTTTTAGATAAATCACTTTAAGAAATTTTTAACTGAACAAGGACAAGGTAAAATTGTCCAAGATTAAGAAAATTTTGGCTGAGGTTTGCTGGTTCCATCATATAGTACCATGGCAGGCCAAAAGGATACAAACTTGGATTGGCAACTTTGGGTACTGAAGTATGATTCTGGCATTGTACGCAAAGTCTGGAGATGATAAAGTACCCTCTTTTCTCTGTGAACCGGCCATTTTGTACCAAGCAACTCATGTACCAGTTTATAGCAACATTCTTACTGTTCAACCTAAACCATCCATGTGGCTGCCAACACAATTTTTAGCCTCTAAAAATAAAAAATCTTATACCCTTAGCAATGGATAGAACTAGGAGTGGACGTTTCCTGGCCTTCTGTATTGGCATAGATTCTACAGTGCTGTACCGCATACCTTTCAGAATCCTTCCCTGTGACATGCATCATAATAATTTGTACTACTGCTACCCAGGGCCACAAACATGTCCCTTTTGACAAAGCGGGCTAAGTTTTCAAGGGGGCACATGGGCTTGGGAGAACGCTTGTGGTGGTCCTGGCAGAAAGAGGTGTGGAATGTGACGTCAACACCATTGTAAAGAATCCGGACAGAATGTTCACTGGGCTTTTCTCTGTCTTGCCAAAGCTCAAAGATCAGCCTGGCCGCAAACCTTGGGAACCTGGCTTCCGAAAGGCCCAAGGCACTGAGAACTGGCGACAGAGTGACATCGTGAGCTGAGTAGAGGGCAAAGATCTCTTCTTTCCTGCCCTCGGCAGCACGCTGCAACCGGTTCACAGTTTGATTCAGGATGGGGTGGGCACCTAGGAGTGAATACCCGAGGTACAGTTTCTTTTCCCGCCTGTCTCTTTCGTCCTCAATCTGATGCGTCTTGATCACCTTGAAGTGCTCCATGCCGATACAGCCGTTTCTGGTGCAGGGGAAGCTGACGTTGTGGCAGAAGTGGCAGAGCATGGAGTCTACGGGATTGGCAGCTCGGAGCTGCTTGGTGGGGATGTCCACGATCTTGGCCATCTCCCCGTAGGTCCTCTCCAGCTGGCTGTTTTTCAAACGTAAGAGGTACTGACGACGCTGCTCCTTTTCCAGATACTGATTTCTCACTGGGCAGTAGCAGTTTCCAGAGCAGAACAGAGCACTTGGCTGGTGCCTGAAATAAATCTTCTTCCAGTCAAAATCTGGGAGAAAGCCATAAAGCAAGGCCAGCCCACTTTGCAGGGTTCGGCTTTTCCCAGTGGTTTCTAAATAAAGCTGGTCTATGGACCAATCACTGGGCAGGAGTTTGTGCTTCTTTAGATAGATGTCCCTCAGCAGCTGGCCATTCTGCAAATGCTGTACGACTCCTGAAACACACGGGATACAAGCTTTCCTTACTACTAGCTTAGCAAAGGGGACAGCAAGGGCAAGCTGAATTAGTGTCCAACTCTGAAATGTTTTAGAGCAGTGTAACAAAATATAATCAAACCCATTTCCCCACCAAATAGAAGTTATAAGAATGGGTTCACATCAACTTGCAAAGGGAGCCTCTCGGGGGTATCCACGCAGGGATAAGCAGAGTGGGGCCCTGTCCTCTGGAGGCACAAGGACCATCGCCTTACCCCCTCTCTCGACTGGCCCCTTTCCTGGGGAGAGCACTGTGACTGGTAGGCCTCGGGGTGGGGGAAATCACCCAGCCAGGGAAGGTCTAGCCTGTAAGTGGTACAGGCCTAAGGCGAGCTTTCTCCCTGCTGCCCAGGGACACAGCATTCATTCCTCAGGGTGCAGAGATTGCCCAGTGAAATCAGTCAGGGAAGGACAGACTGAGCTTGCTTGCTTGGTTGCTGCTTAGCCTCCTCACTGCTGGTAAGTTCCCTCCTCGACCCCATCTTCCCCACTCTGCCCAACGCAGCACTCTCTGCCCATCTCCTGGGTACATTCTGCCTAGTCCTGCTGGGGCTTTCCGGCTCGGCAGCAAGGATGCGCTCTCCTTGTGATTTGGAACAGTCTCCCAGATAGCCAGACAGAATACTTGAAAAAAGCAAAGTGTAGAACAGTATGTTTATTATGTTCCTTTTAAATAAAAAAGAGGGAAAAATAAAAACATGTATTTGCATTTGCCCACGTTTTACATAAAGAAACTTTGGAACGATGCACAAGAAACTAATCTCAAGGGTTACCTGGGGATGACAGGGCACTATAACTCAGGTGGACGGAACATGGGTAGAAGAATTTTAAGTTTACTTTTTAGTACTGTTTTAGTTTTGAACTACGACAGCATAATAGTAAATTAACTTTAAAAAAAATGAAAAAGCCTTATCTTTAAGCAGGAAAAGGCAATCCAAGACAAAAGCAAGCTCACCCTCCAGCCTGCAGGATGCAAGGAAATGCAGTCTCAGTAATGGGTATGAATTCTTTGAGGGCACAACTACATATAAGCCCTGTGACCAGTAATGCCATTTATTCAGATGTGCAAATGGTTTGAAAAGTTCCACTGCAAAGGTGAGACTACTTAGGCTGAAAAGTATGACACAGAGGGAAATGTGTTGTCCCAGAAGGGGGACAGCTCAGCAAGACACCCAAAGAATGTCTGGGTCCTACGGTGAATGAAGAGTTTTGTTGTGGGTTTTTTTTTTGCTGTTGGTTTTTGGTTTTGGAGATGGGCTCTCGCTGTGTTGCCCAGGCTGGTCTCTAACTCCTGGCCTCAAATGATCCTCCCACCTCAGCCTCCCGAGTAGCTGGGATTAGAGGCATGTGCCACCATGCCTAGCTCAGGAGATTCAAGAGCAGAATTCCCCCAGGAACCTAGCATTCCCCCCTAGAACCTAACAGGCTCTAGCATTTCCAAAGCGATTTGCAAAAAAAAAAGGCAAACCCTGAGTGATGAACGTTAAGATTATGTGTCTGGCCGGGGTTCCCCTGTGGGCCTATTTTATTTTCTTCGGCTACACATATTAAAGTTGGAGTGTTTACTGTGCGGCCCTAGCCTTTCTCATTTAATCCTCACAAAAACCCAATGAGGAAGGGATGTTACTATTACCACCCCCATTTTCCTTATGTGACAGATGAGGAAACCAAGGCCCTGAGCCATTCACAGTCAAGAAGTGGCAGAGCCAAAACTCAAGGCCCTGCCTGGCTCCAATTTTGTGCTCTTAGTCCCTGCTCACAGCACTGTCCCTTACATTTTCATGCAGAAATACTAAGTTCTAGCCATTTAGGGCTTCTTAGACTTGCCAAACACAGCCTGCATTTTCATGACTCTGTTCCTGCTGTTCCCCTTTCTCTGCCTAGAGAAATCCTCAGCTGGTGCCTGGCTCCGACTCTGTCTGCTTTGTAGAGCTTTCCTTCTTCCTCTCCCAGGTCAAATTAATAATTCTTCCTGTTCCCATGTGTCACTGGCCCTCTATGACAACATGAGCTGCATTTATTGAGAGCCCATCATAGGCTGGCACTATGCTAGGCACTCTATACATGCTGCCTAATCTAATTCACCACCAGCCGCGTCGGGAAGATATTATTCTCACTGTTTTCCAAGTCTGTCTGACTCTAGAGCCCGTGTTTACTCTCTAAGACCCTGCGGCTTCCAGCACTATAGTTACTTGGCTCCATGTGTATTGTCAGCTGCAGCTGCAGGCTCTTTTAGGCCAGGCTAGAGGGTCTTATTCATCTGGCCACCCTCCCACACTCAGCAGCTGCCAAAGCATCTTGAACAGAGCAGGCACTAATGAGCAATCTTATCTTTCATAGTTACTGTGGGGTGCCTTAAGTGTGCCAATTACAAATGATTATTATAACAGCTATGCATTTTTCATGACATTTAAAATACAAGATAAAAGTGACCATTAAAAGAAAATGAGGGAACAGGAACAAACAGTACTGCAAAAATGATTTCTAGAGCAATACCAATTTAGAAAACAATGATGATAATAGATCAATTGAGAAGAAAGGTCTGAATGAAGGATCATTTCTGGTTGTGTGAGGGCCATCCCCCACCAAGCCTCATCAGGGTATAGCCCTGGATCCAGAGACTGCTTCCCCTACTCTCTGCTCTCTGCACAGTCATCCTGACCCCTTAGCCAGAGATGACAGACACTGACCCCTGGGGACCTTGAAAGATTCTCTGAAGAATCTGGACTTGCAGGCTGGGCAAGGTGGCTCATGCCTGTAATCCTAGCACTTTGGGAGGCCGAGGCGGGAGGATCACTTGAGGTCAGGAGTTCGAGACCAGCCTGAGCAAGAGCGATACTCCATCTCTACTAAAAATAGAAAAATTAGCCAGGTGTGGTGGCGTGCACCTGTAATCCCAGCTACTCGAAAGGTGGAGGCAGGAGAATCGTTTGAGCCCTGGAGTTTGAGGTTGCTGTGAGCAAGGCTGATGCCACGGCACTATAGCCCAGGTGACAGAGCAAGACTCTGTCTCAAAAAAAAGAAAAAAAAAAGAATCTGGACTTGCAGGTTCATCTCTGGGTGTGGCTAAGACTGGTACTACTCTGTTGACAGACACGACAAAAAACCACAGAGAGAGGTGGGGACAAGACAGCTTTTTTTATTTCCAGTTCCAGTCTCTGGAGGCCTGGTCACACTCTTGATCTTGGGAGTCTGTGAGTCACCCCTGAATCCTTATAATAAATTTCACTTTTTTGCTTGAGTTGGTTTCTGTTATTTACAATTGGAGAGTTTAAGCTGCGGTTGTCACCAAGAGTCGTACTGTCTCAGGGAGGGTCTGCAGGTGGAGTTATCACAATAATATGGGGAAGGATATTCCTGGCACCTAATGAGTAGGGGCCAGGAGGGTAGACAGTCTCCACAAGGGACAACTGTTCTCTGCCCCACATGACTTGAATGGACCACAAGACATTCCCACATGTGAAAAACCTGCTTGACTACTTTAGCCTATAGAACCTAAGTCTGGTTTGTTGTGTGTATAAATACAAAACCATTTTTGCATAACAGTAACATCCACCAAATTTTCCAGAAATCCAATATAAATTAAGAGATGTTTGTATGTTGCTTTGATCAGAACTTGTTGGAAAAACTACACTGTGACGTGTTAAAGTCACCAATACACATCCCTCAGTCATCTGCATTTGTAGCTCTCAGAGTCGCCAATGCACATTGGTATAAGCATTTGATTATTTGATTCTATTTTCTAGTGTAGTTGTTCTCAAGCATTTATATTAAAATATGTATAATTATATAATAAATTAGTGTCCTTTTGCTTGTTACAGTTCAGGTCCCAGATATAACTTTTTAAAAATTAAGTTTAAAGAAAGGTAATATTTAAATTTCACTTCGGGATAGCTGGGGGAGATTGCAAAATATGTGTTAATTGTCTTTCCTAATTTTTCTTCATGAACATGTACTGGTTTTTTTAATAAGAAAAAAGGTTATCTTTAACTTTTAGAAATCAGCTGTTTAATCAGATGCCTTGGTGACTCTGAGTTCCTTGGGGGGCCAGTCCTTACGTAGCCCCCTGAGCCCCACAGCACCACTAGGGGTACTTGCCGCAAACGCGTGTGCGTGGAAGAGCGGGTGGGAGAATACTGAGTGAACCACATACCTGTCTGCGTGAGCTCCCCCATCTCGCACAGTGGGTGATTGGGGTAAAGAGGCAGGGAGTTTAAGGGGCTTTCAAAAGAGGCTCCAGATCCTTTTGACATGTGACTAATGAAAGCTTCCAATTTAGGGTGATACGGTTTCCTAAAGAGACAACACAGAGAATTAGTGGTCCAAAGACTTTTCAACTTCCGGAAGCAATATCCCAAATGTGTCAAGGCCTTTCCCACCCACAGGAAGAGGTACTGGCTCAATCACTTCTAAATTCAAATTTCATTATTACTTGACCACTGACTCCTACGCACAAAATCCCCTTGCTGTAAGGTCAGCCTGAGTCCCTACCTCGGCTGAACTTGATAGTGAGGGATTCAGCTTGGTCCTCTACCTTCCTTTTCCCCAACCTGCACTGTCTCCTGGGCTCGCTCTCTGGGAGGCCACCAACACCCACACAGCAGTCATGACCTAGGCTGGGAGTTGTCCCAATTTTTCCCTTCCCTGCCCCTGCACATGTCACCTATGCCCAGTCTTGCAGATTCTTCCTCCTGGTGTGTGTCCATCCCTTTCTCCTTTGTCCTCATGGCCACTCCCTGCATTCTGGCCTCAGGCGGCTTTTGTCTGGATAGCAGTGGGCTCCTCCTTGGCCTCCCTGCCCTTTAATCATGCTCCACTAACCTCGCCTTCTCCATAGCCACAGGATCAACTTAAAAGGCAACTCTGACTCTACCCTTCCCCATCACTGCCCTTTCCATGGCCACCTTCCGGCAGGTGCACAGCCTGTCTGGCCTGGCCCCCCTCGGCACTCACCCGGCCCTCTCCACCCTAACACCGTGCTCTGGCCGCCCGGACGCACACAGACACACACCTCAGTCTTTCACACTTCCACCACTTTCGACATGCTACTCCTTCCTCCTAGAAAATCTCCCACGTCCTTCACCTAGGTAACCTTTAATCCTCCCTTCATTTTTCTGACCTCTGGAAAATCTCCTTTTAGGAAAATTGTTAACTGAGTAAAATAACCAAGATCTCTGATAGCTCTTTACAGTTCACTGTGCAGGTTGCACATACAAGAGCTCATTTAATAGGAAGTGGTGATAAATATCGAGAAAACAGTTTATAAGAGAATTGAGATTATCTATGTTCCTGCCCCCAAGTATATGTGGTAAGTCTTTCTAGTCACTAATACACAATTTTCCTGAATAATGAAATGACCTACGAATACACACATCTTCTCCTTGAATAATGAGATGGCCAACGAATGTATATACATTTTCCAGCTGAACAGGAGTGGCCAGATAGTGTAGTTCACAACTAAACTGCATAAGAAATGGCATGAAGAGAAGCAAAGATAAACTGTTCCAATGGCAACCCCCCGCTGTCTGAAAGCCCAATTAACTCTGGCAGTGCTTTAAAAATGGCTGCCAAAATGGGTTTATTATCTTTCAAAAACATAAAGCTAAAGAAAGAAAATCCATCTTTTAAAAAATATGTTTTAAAATTAGAGAATGCTAATCCTCACATGTGGTATAGTCTAATAAATCATGCTGCATGGCTACAGGGAATTGTGTCTTTCCATAAAAGCAGAGGGTATGTTGTGCTGCCTGAGGCTAAAGCATATAAACGTTTGCAAACTGGGAAATAAAATGTCCAGACTGATAATGAGGCTGCTGATAGGAACCCACATAAACAAAGGCCATCCAGCAACAGGAGCCAATGTTCTGCTCCGGGCCATTATTTCAGGTTGGTGATTTTTTGAGGATCTGAGAAAGCTTTGCTGCCAATTTTAGAAATGAAATTTCACTACTGAAAGTGTTTGCTGAGATGTCCCAGGTTTTCAGGGCATCTGACTGCTTAATGATGCTTTGATATCTAACTGCGTTCATTACCATTTTTTTTTTTTTTGGTGTAGAAAGTTGAACAGAATAGATAACAAATGGCTGTATCTTTTTAACATGAAGAGGACCAGGTGAACCCTGGACCTGTCCTGGATGTGACTACCCAGGCCCTGCCTGCCTGGTCCACTGCTCCATCCCTAGGGCCCAGCAGGTACAGAGCACACAGTAGATGCTCCAAAAATAAGTGTGAATGAATTCAACTCTGAAGCATCCCATCCTTGGATGTTTCATGAAAACACCGAGCCTTTCATAATCTGTAGCAATGAATATGGCAAGTTCCCATAGTGTTTATTAAAATATTCAGATTTTGATGAAAATACAGTTGGTCCTCTGTATCTTTGGGTTCTGCATCCAAAGATTCAATGAATTATGGATCAAAAAAATATTCGGAAAAAGACTCAATAAAAAATAACGTTGCAACAATATTAATAAAAAATAATACAAATAGACAATATAGTATAACAACCATTTACATAGCATTTACATTATGTTAGGTGTTATAGAGATAACTTAAGGTATGAGGAAGATGTACGTAGGTTATATGCAAATACTATACCTTTTTTTTTGAAACAGAGTCTCACTCTGTTGCCCGGGCTAGAGTGAGTGCCGTGGCGTCAGCCTAGCTCACAGCAACCTCAAACTCCTGGGCTCAAGCGATCCTTCTGCCTCAGCCTCCCTAGTAGCTGGGACTACAGGCATGCGCCACCATGCCCGGCTAATTTTTTTTTTTCTATATATTTTTAGTTGTCCAGATAATTTCTTTCTGTTTTTTTTTTAGTAGAGACGGGGTCTCGCTCTTGGTCAGGCTGGTTTCGAACTCCTGAGCTCAAACAATCCACCTGCCTTGGCCTCCCAGAGTGCTAGGATTACAGGCGTGAGCCACCATGCCGGGCCTTATACCTTTTTACATAAGGGACTTGAGCACTTGCAGATTTTGGTATCCCAGGGGGATCCTGGAACCAATTTCCTGTGATATTGGAGAATGACTGTATTGAAAATAAAGGCTGTTGTGGGTGAGACTACTAGTTGTACGCTACAATCTATTCTCTTGAGAACTTGGTTAGATCCCATTTCTGAGGTCCTAGAGGTCAGGTAGAGCCGCATGACTAAGTATCCACCAATGGAACGGAGGGATGTACGCCACTTCTGGGGGTAGGCCTTCAGATCATGGGTGTGCCCCCTCACATTCTCTTCCTTCCCTCTGGCCATTGTTTAGGCATGGTGGTAACCAAGGTTCAGCCAGGTAGACATCTCCAGAGGATGGTGGGAGCAACAACCTGCAAGGAACCTGGGCCCTGAATGACCAGGCAGAACCGACTCTGTTATTTAATGTATTCTTGAGTCTCCCTGTTACAAAAGCCTAGCCTCACCCTGACTAATATAAACATAATTATATCTATGAGGATGAATTTTACTTTATTATTGTGGCCTCACTGGAAATCTGCTATCATACTGCAAACTGAGAGAATCAAAAGTGTTACTATCTTAAGCCTTTGAGTCATTCACTTCAGATTCCCATTTACACTTTTGTATGCATTATTCACACCTATTTATGCCACAAAGCTTGAGACAGAACCCCGAGGCTGATCCACACGCCCATGAGAAAAGTTACTGTGCTTTAGTTACAATCGGAGCGACCGCTGAGGTCTGGCAGACGTTAAGGCAGGCAGAAAGCAGGCAGAGACCAGGAGGCCGTTAGCAGAAAACACAATTCAAACACGTGTACATGGCTGGAAACTGGAATGAATTCACACTAGATTTTCAAAATTCATGCCAATTAAGGAAGTTATCATTTTATATTGCTAATATAATGAAATTATAAAAAGATAAGCCCAATGTACTTTTCTCAGTGTTTAGCTTTCTGGATCTTTTTGCTCTACTAGGTGTGATTAATAGCCCGGCTTTCCTTAGCTCTTATGACGCCACTCTCCTGACTTCTTCCCTGTTTGCAACTTCAACGTGGCCTCCTGGGATCCTCTCCTCTGCGTCTATTACATGTTGGTGTTTCCCAAGACTCCGTTTGGCCCATTCCTCGCTCCCCAGGTTCTGTCTGAGATACCACGCAAGTCTGCGGCTTCGAATGCCATCAATATGCGAAGACTCTCAAATAAACCTCTATCCCCCAGCCAGACAATGCTCCGGAGCCTCAAAACTATATACCTACTGCCAACTAGAAAGCATCACCTGAACGTTTCATGACAGCTCAGACGTAGCACTGAAGCCTGTACTCGTGATTTCCCTCTCATACCTCGCTACTTCTGTGCTGTGTGTTCCAGGGAGGGGCACCACCACCAGCCAGACACCCAATCAGAAACCTGGGCACTGTCCCCCCGCCTCATAACCCTGTCCAACCTGTCACCAAGTCCTATTGATTCCACTTCTCTTAAAATCTATCCTCTCTCTTCATCTCTGCTGCCACTCCCTAAGTTCCAGCCTCTGTCATTTATTCATTCAACAAACATTTATCATGCTCCCCCTATATGCCAGGCACTGGCTGAGGTGCTTGGGATGCTGGAGCAGTAAACAAAAATAAATAAAAACCCCTGCTGTGAGGGAGCTTGCGTTCTAGCCTGGGGAAGCAGACAATACCCAATGAACATCATAAATGTGTATATGTGTGTGTGTGTGTGTGTGTGTGTGTGTGTGTGTGTGTGTCAGCAGTAACAGCCTATGGCAAAAAGCAGAGCAGGATAAGGGGATGTGGGAGACCAGGGCAGAGGGAAAAGTGCCTTGTCATTTTAACTGGAGTGTTCTGAGTAGGTCTTATTGAGAAGGTGACATTTGAGCAAAGACTTGAAGAAGGTAAGAGAACTGGCCATAAAACTACCTGTGGTAAGAGCTTACCAAAGAGAAAACAGTCAGTGCAAAGGCCCTGAGGCAGCAGTGCCCGAGTGTGGAAAGAAGAGACAGCAGTGTGGAAGCAGAGTGAGTGAGGGCAAGGAGAGTGGCAGGGGAGGTCAGGCAAGTGAGGGGGGAAGGAAGGGCACACAGGGCATGACTCCGAGTGAAGTCCCTCCTCTGGATCACTATCCCCCTGATAACACACACTGCCACCAGCTTCCACTCCATCCTCCACACTATGGCTGTCAGATCTTCCTCCTTTCACTCCTTTACTCCCCAGCTCCCCAGCCGCCTGCAGCCTGCAGCCCACACTCCCTTGTTCGCAGCCTCAGATGACCCAGTTCCTGCCCACCTCTCCTCTCCACACTCAAGCCTGTGAAACTTAACTTTGAGGGCCCCAACATAAGCTGGCCACCAGCCCACACTGCACAGGCTGTTCTCATGGCCTGAGGGGCCGCTCAGCACCAGCTGCTGCCTGACTTGCTGCTGCACAGCCTGTGGCCCCTTTCCCCGGGGCAGCCTCCTCTGATCTGCCACCCTCCCTCCCTGCCCCAGGCTGAGTCCGGCTGCCCTCTTCCGGCTCATGCCCCAAATGTGGTACCCAAACTACTTCCACTGCTACTTCTTGCTCTTCTTCCGTTTCTTTCTCTTCTCTCTCTAATGTTGCTGCCGCCACCACCGGTGCTGGCCACCCTTCACTGAGGGCTGGCCATGCCCCAGGCACCAGCTGTGTCTCCAGAGGTGAGCAGGCCCCCCGAGGGCAGGCACGGCCTCCCTTCTGCGACGCCTTACAAGCCCACCACCCGCCACTCACTCCCCCAGCCCAGGCACATGCTGGAGTTACGGTTGCTTATACATGCCCAGCTCTTCCAGCCTGAGGCCCCTGCACTTGCCGCTCCCTCCATCTGGAACACTCTTTCCCAGATCTCCTCAGGGCTGGCTCCTTCACTTCATTTAGGAGCCTTCTCATGCGCCACCTCCTGGTACATGAGCCAGGAACATGTGACAGTACCAGGCACATGACAGGAGCATAAAACTAAAATTTGTTGAATAAATGCTGATTGAAGGGAATATTTTTTCTTCCTTGGATGTAGAAAGTGTGTTTAATTCATGTTTATGAATGCAGAAAAACCATTTACTAAACATGGTGTGTGAACGGCTAATAACCTTAGTGCTGGCTAAATGGAGCAATGTGGGGGTTAAAATGGCACCTTTCTCACAAAGCACACGCATTCACAGAGAAGCAGCGTCTACTACACAAGCTTTGAGAGCCATGGGATGTGTCACTGTGGAGGGAAACTCCGGGGCAACTGCCTTGTAAGGACAAGCAGAGCTGCTGCTTGGTTCAGGTCACTGCGCCCTGCCTGCTGGCCCAAATACTCCCTTTCACTGGGTCACACAATTACGAATTTATAAAGCTGGAACAGCACCTGGGAGGACAGCAGGCAATGCTGGTGACCCTGATCCGGCAGTTCTGGAGGAGTCAGCAGCCCGGAGTGGGTGCACTCCACTGGGGTTCCTACTCACTCTCCCTCTAAGTATGTGTTTATGATGACAAGTCGGCGGTCATTGTTTTCAAAGATGGAATTAATTAACCATGCACAGTCCACCCACTTTCCACAAAGGTAGCTTCTAAAAATACAGAATGTCCAATAAACTAAAACCAGGCAAAGGAAATGAGGACAGAGGCAGCCAGGGCAGCTGGTCCCAGGAGCCGAGGCTCTCACACAGGAGCCCCGGAAACAGCCCCAGCAGAGGGTCCTGCCATCGCTGTGACGGAATGAGGGCCCTGCAAGACCAGCTGCAAAGTGCCACTTTTAAAGAATGGCCCTGGTCGCAGTGAGACAATCCACAGTGCTGCCAGGCTGGCCCTGCCCGGCAGGCTGGCACCCCAGAAGCATTCCATCAGAATCGCGTCTTCCCCACGGAATGCTTCCCTCCTCTCCTGACCTCATTCGCAAACCCTGCTAGGGATGTTGTGTGCCCCGAGACCCATCTGCCGAGGCCTGGCCCATCATTTTATTGCTAACTGTGCTTCTAATTTTAGGGCCATGCCATTTCCATAGACACAATTTGCACTCTCTGTTTAATTATTTTTCATCCTAAGGGCTTTCAACTAAGAACAGGCTGTCTCCACGTCCGTGAAAAATTAAAAGGTTGAAATAATATCTGACGTGGCTTTGCAATTAATTGCTAACACGCATTGCCCTGTGTCATCTCGCTTATCCCTCACCCCAACCCTGCGTGGTGAGCGTTGCCATCCCCACTTTAGAGATGGGAGGCTGAGGCTCAGGGACACCAAGGGACTTGCCCACAGCCTTGAATGCAACAGCTGAGCTGCGGGGGAGGACTCCCAGCCCAGTGCTTACTGCAGACGGAGAATGGCAGGGTGGGCCTCCAGCTGCCCTGGGCTCAAACCTCAGTGTGTCTGCTGGGTTGCTTAAAACAGGTGTCCCTGCCTCTGTGGGCCTCAGTCTCTCCAGCACTACAATCGCATCCGCATGCAGGGCTGCTCTGCAGGTCAGGCTCCTGCAAACGGTGCGTGCTCTTCAAGCATAGGTCACTCCCCTGTCCTGCAACCCTCCACTGTACGTGATTTGACAGATTCTTGCAAATGACTTTCGGAAAAAGTGCAATTTGCTGGGCACGGTGACCCATGCCCGCAATCCCAGCACTTTGGGAGGCTGAGGTGGAGGATCTCTTGAGCCTGTGAGTTCAAGACCAACCTGGGCAATATAATACAACAAGACTTCATCTCTAATAATAAAATAAAAGTGCAATTTACCTGTTAGCCACCAGAGTGCAGTCAATTTCTGGTCGCTTTGTTTTAGGAATGACATACAGTGGGTACCTGTCCCCGTGGCGAATGAGCACATTCACTGAGACCAGCTTAAAATGATGCGGGGCGTGACCTGTAAGAGAGAAGCACATCGTCAAGTCATCACTCAACAGGTGTCCATTCTTCTAGAAGGGGGTGAGGGGGAGTGACCTGGCTACGCCTGTGCTGAGAATCAGGAGGCAGCGGGGGCCACAGAGAGGTTGCAGAGCCCCTGTGAAGGCTGGGTGGGGGCCACTGAATAGCCTTACAAGGCAGGACAGAGGAACGTGAGGGCTGGTCAACGTCCCGGACCTCCCGGAATGACAGGATGCTCTGGGGTGTGACTGGGGACTGCAAGGCAGTGAAAGGCGGGCCCGACTGCTAATGTGGCCTCACGGACACAGACTAGGAGGAGGTTCGCCGAAATACTGGGAACAACGACTTCTGCTCTAAGTCTTTCATGGAACAAGGCGGGGCACAAATAAACAAATAAATATTCAATGCCATCCTTTGATTCGCTTTCAGAAAAGCAAACCTTGACGTAGCAATTGTATTTTCCCACACCTTTTTGGCAAGACCTAAATCCTGAGAATCTACCCGGAAAAACAGAGTAGCTGAGGGTGCTGTCCTAGAGCCTGCCAAGGTCACCTTTTCATCTTGCCAATGTCACTGAAGATGGTGATAATGGCAAACACTTGCGGCAGGCTGATCACGAGCCACGAGCTGTTCAGAACCGTTACTTAATCCTCTCATCAGTCCCAGCGTGGGTCCTGCTGGTTACTCCCGTGTGACAGATGAAGGTGCCAGGGCCCCGGAACTCATTCAACAGCACAGCCTAGGGGCGACCGCAAGATTCGAGCCCGGTCTTGCCCTTGCCACTGTGCTATGCTGTTTGAAGAACTAGTCCCCAGAGGGGTGTCTGGCCAGGCACCGAGTCCCGGGGCTACAAGGGCCAAGTCGGGAGGCACGGCCAAGCCTACCTTCCATGCTGCGCTCGGCCACGCTTGGGATGTTGCAGTACAAAAGAGCTTCGTAAACAGGGTCTGTCACGGGGGGCTCTGTCACTGGGTCGGGCATGATTCTCTTTCGACTCTTGCTGCTCACTCCATCCTTAGCTGTCGACACGGGGATCAGGTGGACTGCGAGGGAAGCAAAGCAGGTCACGATGCACGGTCATGAGGCGCCAGGCCAGCGGTAGGGCCCAGCGTGGGGCTGGGTTTCACGCTGAGTAACTGTTCTCTCCCTCAGAACCAGGGTGCACTTCAGCGGAGCAAGACGCCCGTTTCCCTCCCCACTGTGCCCTGCCTCTTAACGCATTTCATCTCCTCACCAGTGTTACCTAGGCCACATCAGTCGGCCAAACTCAGGGTGGTTCAAGGAAGAACTTACACACTAGCAACTTCTGACGACCTGATTACCACATCCTAATGCCCTTCTAATTCCAGTAACAGCAACAGGAAGGAAAACCATTATCACTTACTGAGCACCTGCTAAGTGCCAGATGAGGATGTCCGACATACCTCATTTAATTCCATCTGCTTTTTGCTTTGGGGCCCCCAGAGCCCGATCACAGGCACCCGCTCATTAATCCTCACAAAACCACTTTACAGAAGAGAGCCAAGGACCAAGGAACATGTGGTGGAGGGAGCCCGTCTCCCGACCCCAGGCTGGCTTCGCCAACGCAGTCTTGAGGGTACCACGTGTGGGTCCTGCAAACTGTTACGTTTGTCCATCTAGCACCCTCTTTCCCTTTGTGAACCAACCCTCCCCTCCATGTGTGGTCTGGCTGGACTGTCAATCACAGTGTCCCCACCCTCGGCAGGGGTGGACCTGTGACCAGAGTCAACAAGGAGAGTGATGGGCAACTAGACTCCTCTTCCTTCAGAGAGGTGGTATACAGACACGGGGAGAGGCTCTCTCTTCCTTCTGGATGCTGATCTGTAGGAATGGGACTCTGGGGCTGTTCAGGCCATCTGTCCCTCCGTGGACAGCCTCTGTCTCAGTGGTCCCCAATCTTTCCATGCTTAGGGAATATCTATGTAGCATCACAGTTTATAGAACTCCCTACACTAATAGTCGTATTTTCAGCATCCACCCATTGAGGGAAACAACACAAAAGCAAGTTTGCCCATGGATCTATTTAACTTTAAAAGGTTCATTAATCCTCATAATACACACACACACACACACACATACACACACACACACACATGAACAATAGCTAAAATAGGGACCAACCACCAATCTAAATCAATTTAAATTCCCTACTGGGAACACTCATTCTATTTTATAGAATGAGATGTTCTTATAAAATTTAAAAAAATATATATTCCTTACTTTCTTCTACAAATTCTTCTACATAAATATTTAATACTTCCCTTTGGCAAACAGATGCCGTAAACAAATATAAAAGACAAGCAATACACTGAAAGAGAAATACTGGCAACACACATAACAAGACAAATGATTACCGTCCATAGCACATATGAGCCCCTACTACTGAAAAATCATTAAAGGATATAAACAGGCTAATCACAGAAAAATAAATACCAATGCCAATAAACATATAAAACGGTGCTCAAGTTTATTCATAATTAAAGAAATATAAAACAAAACAACAACAGGATATCATTTTTCCCCCATCAGACTGGAAAATGTTTTAATGATAATATCCAATGTTGGCAAAGGTATGAGAAACCTGACACTTCCAAACACTGCAGGCCAGCGTGGAAATTGGAACAACCTTTCGGAAGGAGAGTTTGGCAGCAGCCACCCAAGTGTTCTCTGTGCGTTACCACTGATCCCGTTATTCTACACCTCGGAATCTACACAGATATCAACACCCATGCACAGATACGTGGCCACAGAGATTCGCTGCAGGGCTGTTTGCAATAACAAAAGGGCAACAGCCTACACATCCATCACTAGCAGAAAGAATGTTACATCCATACTGTGGAATATTCTACCCCAGTTAAAAAGAAGGGAAAAGAATCAAAGATAAATTATGTGAAATGAATAAACCAAGTCACTGGATATTGATGTATTAATAATTCTCTTTGTGTAAAGAAAAAACAAACTATAAATGTATGAATATACAGGCATTTGTCTATTATATAAATGCACTGGAAAAACGTCTAGAAGGTTATCCATCACAATGCAGCAGTGGTTTTGTCTCGGGAATGCATGGAACGGGGTGTGAAGAAGTATTTTTACTTTTTTTACAAGTGTCTGTATTGTTTTATGTATCCACTCACATACATATGTACAGTCACGTGTCACTTTACAACAGGAATACATCCTGAGAAACGTGTCATTAGGTAGTTTGGTCACTGTTCGAACATCATAGAGTGTACTTACACAAAACTGGACGGCGCAGCCTACTACACACCTAGGCTATGTGGCATAGCCCATTGCTCCTAGGCTGCGAACCTGTACAGCACGGTACTGAACTGAGTTCTGCGGTCAACTGTAACACTGTAGTAAGCACTTGTATATTCAAACATATCTAAACACAGAAAAGGCGTGGTAGAAATACTGTGTTGTATATGGGCCCACTGTCCTTGATGGAAACAATGTGGCACATGACTGTACATATATAGTGAGCACACGTTCATATATCCTATATATATATAAATATACATATATATCTATAATGTCTAGATGTACTTTTTAAAATAATAAACGTATCTGCATTTATTACTTTTGTTACCAAAATAATGATCACAGAGCTACAGAATTGGAATTTGAGAATTTTACCAACTCTAAATTAGCCCTTTGGTTGCTCCCAGAGCCACTTTCTTCCCCAGCAGCTGGAAAGTGCTAGAACAGTTAACATATAGCTCAGGTATCAGAGGTAATTTATTATCCGGGGATTAGTGCCAGAGCAAGGGAATATGGAAAATCAGATGTCCTAAGGCAGTGTCTTAAAGACACGGCCCTTCCGGCTGGTGGCAGAAGGACCCTCAATCCTTGATGCTGCTTTTTTATGAAATCTACCAAATCCTGGCCCCTTGGCCATGCCTGTGGACACACTCCCTTGGAGCCTGGGCAGGGAGAAGAGCAGCTCAGGAGCCAGGATAATATGAGTGACACAGGGGTAGAGGGGCACAGGTGGGGACCCTGGGTGTCCCAGAGTCCCCACAGTTTGCTGGTTTATCTGTAAGCACCTGGGGCGAAGAACCATGGTGGTTGGGTGTACGTGACCCACCCATGACCCAAGGAAGCAGTGATTTGAAAACCACAGATAAGGATCGGATAATGATCAGAACGAGAACTCCTGTCCAGAAAGATTTTATCCGGACTTCCTCTGGCGTCTGGGCAGTCAGCCTTGACTACTAGTTCAGACTGTGAGATCGCCCTGTGCTATCTGTGCCTCCCTAAGTCACCAGGATGCATTGTCAGTCCAGGAGGGGCCCTTCCAGGTGTTCTCCAGACATCAGGCATTTAAAAGGAGGTTCTGATGCCTTCAAGCTGTGGGCAGAGAAGCCTCCCAGCTCCATCTTGACCTCCCACCCCAAATTAGTTCTCATTGTTCTGAACTGCTCAGAGCTGCCTCACCCCCACAAGATGTCTCTCAACCATGCCCTTCCATTTACTTGCAACTCTACCCTCAGCCCCACTCTGCTCCCCAAATTTGGCCAACACTGTAAGTGATCCTGGGGGTCACCTTCTGCAGGAAGCCCCCCGTGAATGCCGAGGCAGTTTCCATGTCATCTTCTATGAGCCCACCCAGTTCCTGCTGCTGTCACAGCTCAAACCACAGTACATGTAAGCAGGGGTATCCTGGTTTGTCACCCCACCATCCCAAACGTGCTGAGGACTGGGACTCAGCCTCTTCCAGGTTTATATTCTCCACTGACTGGCAGAGGACAGGCCATCCAGAAATGTTTGCTGAACTGAGCCAAGCATTGTGCTCCATGCTTCTGGTGAAACAGCTCATTGAATCCTCACGTGGAGCCGTGAGAGTTACCTAACCCAAGACAGGCCTCTCAGAGAAGACCCCAAGCAGAGCCCAGCCAGCCTGAGCCTGGAAGGATGAAATGAAGCCAGCTACAAGGAGCGGAAGAGGAGAGGAGGGCCAAACACAGCAGATAAGAGTCAGTGGGCTGGCTCCAGGTGTGCCTCGGGTCCCCTGCAGGCTGAAGAGGAACCTGGGGGAGCAGGCCTGGGCTGGAGGCTGCCTCTGCCAGGCGCTGCACAACTTGCCACATCAGCCCTCCGGGGCTCGCCTTGCTCATCTGGACAAAGGGGCTGAGGGATAGCTGGGGGCCAGGGGCAGCCTGGACTGCAGGACCCTGCGCCTCTCAACAGGCTCTGCTCAGGCCCCCAGCTCCTCCAGCTGCTGACCCCAAGCAGATGACAGCAGTTCAGACGTCACAGGACAAGAGAAAGGGGCCGTGGGGGCGTCAGAAGGAACAGTGGGCAGATAAAGAGATGGGAGGATAAGGAGTTTCACTATGTAGGTGGGAAAGGAGTCTAAACAAGTGCCCTAGGGCCACTCTGCCACCATGACTGATGTGAGTCACAGAATAAGGTACAACTATTATTGGTGATTAATTCTGTACCGACAGGCATGCAATTTCTCTGTGGTGTGGTTACCAAGTAGGTGGGAAAATTTCCACAAGCCACAAGCCACCTGTGACAAGTCTGTCACTGATGGCTGCTTGCCCCACTCAGTCATCTGTGATCACTCTAATCTCGTCCACACATCTACACTCCTCAGTAAAGATCATGACATGGTCTCCGTTTCAAAGAAATGGCAGAGAACATGACCTCTGAAGCATCTCCCTGGGCCCCCTCACTCTCAAGAGCAGCCAACCACAAACTTCTTCGAATCTCAAGTAAAACAACCAGATGCTGCTCCACCGTCCCTGTCCACCGCACCCACCAAGCGCCCACAAAGTGACTCTGCCGGCACTACTAGCACATTTCACAGCCCTGACTAGGACAAAGCCAGACTGACCCCCTCTGCCTTTTCTAGCTTTGGACCTCACCCCAGGAAGAGTAACCCGCAGCAGATGACAGACCATAAGCAGAGGCAGATCACGGGACTTGCCAAGTCCCCCAGGCCTGGTGTTTACGCATCTGTGCATCTAGTCACCCAACATTTACTGAGCACCTGCTGGGGGTTCTGCAGAGT